GGTAGAGGAAGATGTTACCTCCACCTGAGATCCCTTACTGGGAGCCCTTTCTGTGTCCAGCCAGCTTGGGGAAGGTGAGGCCGAGGCAGTTTAGGGGGGACGCAGAGGCTCAGAGGAGGCACAGCTGGGGCCCTGCACACTGAGGCTGGAGAGTGGAGGCTGCCTCAAAAGGCTCAGCACCCACCTGAGCGCCTGGTCCAGGGTCATGCCCGTGAAGACAAAGAACTTGAGGTACTCGCCGGCCACCAGTTTGCTGAAGTCATTGCTGTAAGCAGGGCAGAGAGATGGGGAGGAGAAAGGTCTCCAGGGGTGGGGGGCTACCTAGAGACCTGGGGCATTAGATGGAGGGCTGTGTCCCCAGGACACCTTCCCTCCACCCCATCCTCAGTCCCAGCCCAGCAGCTTTACTTCTTGCCCAGGTGCCGGGCCACGTCGGCCTTCCTGAAGCCATCCAGTCGGTACAGCCTCTTGGCCAGGCGCTGCGCAGCCTCCAGATCCGCTTTCTGCCCATTGGACAAAGTGTCTGTGCTTCCCAGGGCCAGGCGCTCTGTGCTGTCCAGCTCTGAGTCTGAGTCAGACACTAGCTGGCTCAGGGGGGGTTCACTGCCAGGGTGGAACAGGAGCTCAGGGATGGGGTGGGGCCCCCAGGGTCCATCCAGACCCTCCCTCTTCCAGACCCAGAAGACAGAGCAAGAGAGGGAGGGACCTGGGAAGTCATCTTCCTTTTCTCCAGAGGAGCTCATACAGGGTCTCTCCATCATCCTACCCCATCATTGCCATCTCTCTGTGCAAGTCCTGCCCCAAGGCTAACACATCCACCATGCTCACCATGCTACTGTGCAAGTTCCGGCTCCTTCCCCAAAGCTCTCAGGGGCCCAAGTGTGCTCTTAGCTAGAGTTGCCTCCATCCCCACACCGGCCTGCCCCACAGTCTTGTCTTTGAGGATGTGAGCAGTGGTGGGATAGATGGACCACCAGGGGAAAGAGGGGAGTCAGAGATAGGAGGGCAGCCGCGACA